CCGATGATGGTGGTCTGTTGCAGTTTTTCTGAGATGGCCGACGATGATGGCAGTGATGACTGAAGGATGATGATGGCGCTGGTATGATCGTGAGAAGATGGAGAGATGGACAGAGGATGATGATCGGAACAGTGAACGTGATGGCGCGATGATGAAGGTGATGGCGAGATTATGTTGGCAGGATAATGGTGCAGACGAGGGGAGACGGAAAATATGATCGATGGGAAGATTAGCGAGAGAGAGGGCAGATCAATGGAGAGCTGCGTTCTCCCAATGTCTGTTGCGGGAATTAATATGTTGCTGGGGGTTTAACTAATCTCTCACAAATATATAACATGTACGTTTTTTTTCTTATCCCTCAAGACACACACACACACCCATGAGATAGGGAGAGGGAGAAAACGGGTCAGGCTCGGCCGGTTCAGTTCTCTCGATTAAAAGACCCGACCTTCTTGGTTCTTCAATAAAAATAAATCGAGGCTCGATATGGAAATTCGATAATTAAATAAAACTGGGATAATTATATATATATATATATATATATATATATATAACACATTTTAATATTATTACTAGTACTTAATTAAACACATTTTAATTAAATATAATTCACATAATGATATATTTATTAATAGTACACATTAATCAATTAGGCAAATTGGACATATATATATTATTAATAACAATAATAACAATCAATTAAACAATTAAGAGAAATTGGGCATTTAGCAAAAATATTTATAATAATAACAATAGCAATAATCAAATAGGCAATTGGATAATAAGAATAATAATAAAGACAATAAATAATAAATTACCCAATTATTCCATATTCAAACGGGGTATTAACCCAATAAATAATAAATGAACCCAATTTTGTTTTAGTTTTTGTGTTTTGTGGTGCGTTAGTATTGTGTGCCTTTTCGATTTCTAGCGTTGCTAGTGTCGGGTTTCTAGGCGGTCGTAGACCTGTCCTCCCATTTTACTCAGCTTGGGGTCGGTTCATTCAATCTTGGGTTGTATCTTCGCACATTTTTGCTTTTTGTTTATAATATTTCTATCGTTTCGTCAAAAAAAAAGGGGTATTACACCTTAAGTCTTAATTTTTATTAACTATGAGTTTTATGTGAAATTCGAAGAGTGAGATAGATTATTGATAAACTATCTCGCTTAAATGTAGGTGTTTGAGGAGTCGAGCCTCATCCTACGTACTTGCTTTTGTGTGCAATTTTATACCGAAATTTCCAAGTGGGTTTTAATTATGAAATTGCTATGCCTTAATTAATTGTTATTGTTGCGGTATGATCAATGTATGCATGTGAACTATGTAGCCTTCGATGTGAGCTGTACCGGCCGTCGAACGGTTATCCATGTAGCTATAGAGCGTACCTTCGGGTAGTTTCCTTTATTATTGTTGGCAGCCAGGGTGTGAGCCTTGGCTGGTGATCCTCGTATGTAAGGCCAAGGCGTAAGTTTTGGCATTCTAGGTGGATTTACTCCTACTGGCCGGGCACTCGTTGTAAGTCCTTAGATAAGGCGTTCGATCTATAGTTCGGCAGTAGTCCATTGCTAAGGTGTGCGCATGAGATGATTATTGGTTATTGATAGGAGATGAGACGATTATGGATTCGTATACATGCTGCGACCATACCTAAATTGTTTATTGATTATTGAATATTAATTATCGCATAATGGTGAGCACCTCAATTTTTTTATTATGCTCACCCCCACCTGCTCTTTGTGGATGCAGGTTAGTGTGCGGGCACGGCGGAGGGATGCGAGTGGTGGTCTATTGATTTGATTATTGCTTCTGTTAAACTAATTACTGTTATTATTGCATTTTGATTATTGAATTATTGGATTATTGTTTAGGAGTGCACTCCTTGGATTTGGAAATTTGAGAAACCCGTTTGGGGGATTGGATTGATGATTGATATTTTATGATTGATTAATGGATATTGAAATTATTATTGGTTATTGAGATTTGCTTTTGAAAATGAATAACGCCACAACGATTTTGAAATAAATTTTAAAAAATTTATTCTGATTTTCGGCAAATAAAAGTGGGGCGTTACAGCACTACTCAACCTAAATCCATAAATGGTCATCACATAAATCATACTTCTATAAAACATAAATCTTAAATCCAACATTTTCATGAATCCCAAGTTCATCAATATTGTTGACTAGCGTTTTCGGTCAACTGTTAAAATGATAAATTTTGAAAGTGCAAGACTGGAAATAAAGGAAAGATATGGTCTAATTATGATTTTATTAGACGATCACGAGGTCGGCCTCTCGTACGAATTCGGCACTTGCGATATACTTACAATTCTTACAAAGGATTTCTTACAGTTTTAGAGAGAGAAAGTAGAGAGAAGGTAGAGTTAGTTGAGATTCAACAACCCAAAATAAATGAAGTGAGTTTCTATTTATAGTATCCTTAAATGAAGTACTATTCAGGTACTGTTCACCAGTCTTGTCGCACAGTAGACTTGCGGAGCTGTTCGGCGCCTCTCTGACAGTTAAGTAATGCGATTTGAGGTTTCTTCAATCAATGTCTGTCAGGCATTTAATGCTGGTAGGCTTTCTTGACTAGGCTTGCTTGTAGGGAAGACAGCCTGTCCCATTGCTAAATGATGATCTTCCAAGTGGCAAATATTTTAATGACATCGAAGTCGGCACCTATCATCCGAGGGGGCAGCTCTGGATTATCTGACCGGCACCTTTTCCCAAAGGGTTCATGCGACTCTCGGGAGTCTTTTTTCAAACCGGCACCTGATGAGTCCGGCACCCTACTAAGCAGGGTGCTGAGCTCGAGAAATATCCCCGTCAGTCTGGGTTGCACTATTTCTCGGCTCACTTCGGCACTTTTGCCCCTACTCGGCTCTGTCCCCGGCCTGAAGTCCGGCTCTACCCGGTTCGTCGGATCGACACATTAAAATCCAGCCAGGTCGATCCGGATGTCAACATACAGGCCCTCGAGCTTGGAGGTGAGGTTCGCGTCGTCTCCTCCGAGGTCGTCGTTCTAACTACCCGGATCTACCTCCCAGGTCGGTTCTATATAACTATGAGGTCGGCACTATCGCCACACTTGTTTGCATTTAGCGAGTTTTCGATCGACATTGAATGACGCCAGCCGAAGGGACGTGCACTTAATGTGACCTGACGGTTACTTTTCTGTCGGTTGCGAAAAGGCGTGCCACTTTCATTGTGGCCTACGTGGCAGACACGTGTCGACGCCCCCTATAATGCCCGGACAATCGTGCAAATCCGTTCGCAGCGGTTAAGCTGCTTCAAATTATTGAATTTTGAATTTCTTACACGTGTCAACACCTGGTTGGAGCCTGATTCTTATAAATTGAACCCCTCAATCAGTTTTTTGCCTTTCTTCCTTCACTTGCACAATTTCGGTTTTCTCGGTTTTCAGAGCAAGAGATTTTCAAGCTATTTTTTGGCAGATTCTTCACTTCTTCACGGTAATTTTTCTTTCGACTTCTGGTTCGACTCCTATTCCCCTTATGTTTTGACTACATCTTCGTCTCCCAAATCCAAATCAGGAGTTGGCGTGTCCGGAGGAAATACTGGTTCCTCCGGCGACTTATCGCTACCATCGACGAGTAAGCTAGTTCTTTACTCTCCGACGGCAGCCGAAAAGGTTCTTAACGAGGCGGTGCCAATTTCTATGGTTCGCCCGGATCCTTCCGTGTCTGATGTGCACCTCGATCATGGCGGCGGTGACGGCCCGGATCTGAGCTAGACCGTCGAAAACGACGACGAAGAGGGTGTGAATCTGGACTTCCTCAACTCTGACTCAGACGTTGACCAGGATTTGGTTCACAAAACCCTCCGAGGCGACACGGAAGGACGTGAGAGAATGCCGATGGATCGTGGTGACAAGGCCACCGATTCTGAGATCGAGGTGGCGACTTCGGTGTCTCCGAGTTTCTGGCGCCGTCCGCCCCGGGTGTGGGCGACCCTCAGCGAAGCTATAGCTTGGTCCATGCCTTTTGTCATTGATGACGCCGATCTGGCCCAGCTGCGGAGCAAATTCAATTTCGGCCCAGGCATTCATTGGTTTGCCTCGTATCCCGGGGAGCGCATTCATTGTCCGCCGTCGGGCTGCGTCGGGGTCTACCGGGACAGTATCCACCTCGGGCTCCGTTTTCCGCTGGCTGGCGCGCTAAGTGACATTCTTTGCGAGTTTGAGGCCGGCATTAGCCAATTGTTGTCATTGGTTTTTGCCTGACTCCTCGCTCTGATCGTCATGTTCCGCCACCAGGGATGGCCCGACCCCACCGGTGCCGAAGTGAGGGCCCTTGTCACGCCCCCCACACCGGTTTGGACGGGGACGCAACGCCAAGCAATAAATAACAACAAGAATAAAAATTAACAATTCAAACTTAGTCCGGTGATAATAAGTTTGATAGTTGGAATACAAGTCATACAACATGGTCCGAATAATAGAAATTACAAACTGGCAGCGGAATAGTCTCAAATAAAATAAGTACCAAATGACAATAGATAATACTTAGTCTTAATCTCATAATAACATTCCCAATAACTTAAGATCATGCTAATAAAAAAGAGGCAAGGATTCAATTGGCAAATTCTTCTCCAGAGTTGGTTTCTTCCACCATGGTTGGCTCCTTGTCTGGGGAGTTTTCAAAATAAAAAACTGGGTGGGGTGAGACAAAAATCCTCAGTGAGCGGGTGAGCGTGTGCAATGTGTGGCTGAATTTTCTTTATAAAAAAAATAATAATTTGTGATGAATGTTTTGAAACAATATTAGTTTGCAAATAATTCGTAATATATCGTAAGACAACACTCAAAACTTTGGATTGCTTATAATACAATTAGACCTTTCACAAGTACAATATTTTAAAGAAATAAAACAGTGATTTCAATCCCCATGGATTGAAAGTAACTTAATTAATGTAGCAGAGGTCAATATGTTAAGTAACAGTTCAGCTTCGGAGCGAGTCGGTTTGACCTGATCCTAGGCTCTTCCTTGTGACTCCCAACAACATAGGCCTTTAGTCTCAGTTTGAGCCGAAGCTCCAGGATTGAGTTGAAGCTCCAGTATTGAGCCGAAGCTCCAGTATTGAGCCGAAGCTCCAGTATGGACTATGCAGTCCCAAGCCAACCTTATATCTGATCTAGGCTCGACAAACTCCTTAGTTACGGGCTTCTGCCCAGAGAATGTCATAATCGCGATTATACCCCATTTCTACGACCCAGTCACTTTGGAACACTCCGTCCTCAGTTATGGGAATATGCAACAATGGTAGCCTTGCCAAGAACCGCAGCCACGCTGCTCGATACTGGGTTTGGTCTAACCCTCCCAAACAGTCAAGTCAATTCACAACAAGAGTTAGGTGTACAAGGCCACATCAAATTAATAGCACAAGTAAGATAAGCTCAACACTCGGTGTATAGTGGGAATAATATTTTCTAGAAATCTACTTATGCGGCCTGAAGAGTTGGTGTTAGATGGAGGCGTGGGTGGACACACATGTTATTCGAATTTCCCAGTCATTAAACAAAAAAAGATTTTCTAAACACCCATTATTATTATTATTATTATTATTATTATTATTATTATTATTATTATTATTATTATTATTATTATTATTATTATTATTATTATTATAAAATCCACATTCCTCACTTAATTTTAATCCCAAAATATCACATTCATAATTTTTAATTTAATTAATGAATTCTGACTGTTATCCTTAATGATATTTAAATGACTTCCAAACCGACGACGTGTTTGGATGGTCTAGTAAAAAAATTTATAAGTCAAAACTTTTTAAATTTATTACTTATATTCTAAGTTGTTTTTTTTTTTTTTACAATAATTATATAAATAATACCAAGATCTATTTTAATCATGTGTCATAATTAATTACTGCATATGGATAAATTACTAAGATTTAGAGTTACACAGATATAAGTTACGCATCAGGGAGGAATTAAAAGAATAGATCGATCAGTATTATCACAGATTAACATAAACAATACATAACAGATAAAATAACAACATGTATACAAAGCAGAAAAATTCTTAATGCGATAAAATAATATCAGATAAGAATTTTCATATACCAGATAAAAAGTTTAATACCGTGAAACAGATAAATATGAATACCAGATAAAATTCATATATAAGCAGATGAGGAGTTTAATACAATAAAAAAGATTAAATATTAATAACAGATAAAAGTTTAATATACGTTATGTAGATAAAACCCCATAAAGGTATTAATACACATCACAGAGGAAATAAATATATACACATGATTACAGTGCAACAAATAGTATATAAATATACACATGTACGCGTATTCACGGAAAAAAAATATAAACATAATCCTAACAGTATTTTCAACAACCAACAATATATAATATATACATGCATCAGTATTTTTGAGATAACACTTCCGTTTATTTATTTCAAGATTTAATCACCCACCTCTTATCTTCTTAGTATTTGGGCTTAGGATGATGTGTGCCTCTAATTTGCTCCCAGACGCTCCTCCAAATGATCTCCCAAGACTTCTACAACGGACAACTACTTCATGAAATATTTATTTTGATGCAGAGTGAAAGTTGAGTTGAGGTAGAAAAGTTGTCATTGTTGAACGGTGTATAAAATGGTAAGTAGAATAGGTTGGGTGTAAATTGTATATAAAATGATTAGGTAAGATAGATTGAGTGTAGATTTTGTAGAAAGATGGCCTGCAACGTGAAGGGTACACGCAAAAAGCAATGATTAATCTGATAACAGGGGTTTCTATTGGGACGTAGGAGTTTGAGGAGTGTAAGGGACGCATCCGTGAATGGGGAAGTGTGATGTTCTGAAGTCCGTGATTTCGATTGGGGCATTGGGTCGGCGTCTCTGATCTCCCCCTTTTATTATTATTATTATTATTATTATTATTATTATTATTATTATTATTATTATTATTATTATTATTATTATTATTGTTGTTGTTATTATTGTTATTATTATTAGATGTAATATATCTATCACATATCTATGCAAACCCCCTAAACAACCTTACTGACTTATTAATATATAATTAGTACCCTAAAGCATCTATACTAAGTTTATACGCAATTATGTATATATCTCAAACAGCTATCCAATAATATACACACACATATATATATATATATATATTTATATATAATATACCAATTAATAATATTAAGCACCTTACATATTTATATAAGTCTAGAGGATTATAGATACATCTATCCAAGCCAACTATATTATTCATTTGACCAAGAGAATAATATGTAAGGTTCTACACATTATTAAAAATCAAATAAATATCTAGGAAGTGCATTAGAAAATTATCAAGTATTTATAATATTGATGGTTAGTAAAACACTCTAGAAGTTTGTACACCAATTTTAATAATATAGGGAAAATAGAGATATGTATTTCATTTTATTATTATTATCTAATAGTAAAAGAATAAAAATAAAAATAATAATCACTCAAGGAGTTATTAACTGTTACTAATAAATCATATAATTAGCATAATTCAGATAATGGTGTACCTGTGGGGTATCACATCCTCCCCTCCTTATAGGAATTTGGTCCCCAAATTCTTCCTAAATAACTCTGGGTATTGTTCCTTCATTTCCTTCTCCGGCTCCCAGGTGGCGTCTTCGTCTCGATTGTGGTTTTGCCAAACAACCTTGACCAGTGGAATTTGTTTCTTCCTTAATACCCGGACTTGATGATCAATAATGCGCAGTGGTTTTTCTAAGTACGTCAAGTTATCCATGATAGGTGGGATGTCTCTTGTAATAATGTGTTCTGGATCAGGACTATAGTTCTTCAACCTTGAGACGTGAAATACATCATGCGTACCAGCAAGATTACTCGGTAAGTCTAGGGGGTAGGCTAGCTGGCCGATTCTCTTAAGGATCTTGAATGGGCCAATATACCTTGGACTAAGTTTCCCACCTTTCTTGGATTTTATTATCCCTTCCTTGGGGATACCTTAAGGAACACTTCATCCCCACAATCGAACTCTAAATCTTTTCTTCTCTTGTCGGCATAGCTTTTCTGACGACTTTGTGCAGTACGGATCCTTTCCTTAATTAGATGAACTTTGTCCACTGCTTCTTAGACTAAGTCAACTTTTGGTACAAAGGTTTAACCTTTCTTAGTTTTGGGTACCCACCGATCGTCAATTTCCCAATGAAGTGGTGATCTACATTTCCTACCATAGAGAGCCTCATATGGTGCCATGCCAATTGTGGCTTGGTAGCTATTGTTATAAGCGAACTCAGCCAATGGCAGATGATGGTCCCAGTTCTCTTGGAAGTCTAGCGTGCAGGCTCGAAGCATATCTTCCAGAGTTTGGATTATCCTTTCTGATTGCCCGTCGGTTTGTGGATGAGCTGCTGTACTAAAACTCAAATATGTTCCCATTTCTAAGTGCAGGCTTTTCCAAAATCTCGAGACAAATCTCGAATCACGATCAGAGACTATATCTATGGGTACTCCGTGGAGTCGGACTATCTCCAGAATGTAAGTTCTGGCCAACTTCTACAAGCTGTGTGTCTTTTTCACTGGTAAGAAATGGGCTGAATTCGTGAGTCTATCCACTATAACCCATACTATGTTGTATCCTTCTCGGGTTTTTGGTAGGTCCGTCAAAAAGTCCATTGTTATCAACTCCCATTTCCATTTAGGAATCTCTAAGAGTTGTAGTAACCCTGATGGTCGTTGATGCTCAGCTTTTACTCTTTGACAAGTCAAACACTTGGCTACATACTCGGCAATCTGGTTTTTCATATTTACCCACCAAAAGTATTTCTTCAAGTCTTTATACATTTTATTTCCTCTTGGGTGAATAGTGTACCTCGAGCGGTGCGCCTCTGCAAGGATTCTATCCTTCAACTTTTCGTCATTTGGCACACATGTCTGATTTTTGAATTTCAACAATCCATCTTCAGATATGTTGAACTCTGTTCTCTCTCCAGAAGTTACTTTCTCCTTCAAGCCTTGAAGTTTTAGATCCTTCTTTTGTGCTTCTCCGATCTCGCTAAGCAAGTTAGACTTAATCGAGAGGTTAGCATACAATATGTAAGTATCACGACAATGTGGTTTCCATTGGATTACTTCATCCAAGGCCTCCCATTCTCTGCCCATAAGTCTGGCCATACTTGCCTTTCTGCTTAGCGCATCGGCAACTACATTGGCTTTGCCAGGGTGATGTTGTATGGAAAAGTGATAGTCCTGCAAAAGTTCAATTCATCTTCTTTGTCTTAGGTTCAACTCTTTTTGAGAGAACAAATATTTAAGACTCTTATGGTCAGTGAAGACGGTAAATGTAGCTCCATACAAGTAGTGTCGCCACTTCTTCAATGCGAAAACTATGGCCTCAAGTTTTAGATGGTGAGTCAGGTAATTTATCTTATGTGATTTAAGTTTCCTTGAGGCATAAGCAATTACTTTGCCATTTTGCATCAACACTGCTCCTAGGCCTTCCTTGGATGCATCACTGGAAATCACAAAGTCTTTCATTCCTTCTGGAAGAGCTAGAATAGGTGCTGTCGTAAGCCTTCTTTTAAGTTCTTGTAAACTCGATTCACATTTGTCGTTCCACTCAAATTTGACCTGTTTTTGCATTAGTCGCGAGAGTGATCCAGCTATATTTGAAAAGTCTTTAATGAATTTGCGATAATACCCCGCAAGTCCAAGAAAACTTCTAATCTCCGTGACAGTTTCTGATCTCTTCCAGTCCAATATTGTCTGCACTTTTGCTGGATCGACTGCAATGCCTTCTTCCGAGACAATGTGTCCCAAGAATGCCACTTCTCTAAGACAGAATTCTGACTTGCTAAACTTTGCATATAGCTTGTGCTTTCCCAAAGTCTCGAGAACGAGTCTCAAATGTATCTTGTGCTCCTTATCAGATTTAGAATAAACAAGGATGTCGTCAATAAAAATTACGACAAACTTATCAAGGAAGGGTTGAAATACACGATGCATCAAATCCATAAATGCTGCTGGCGCATTGGTTAAACCAAAAGGCATCACTAAAAACTCATAATGACCATATCGGGTTTGGAAAACAGTTTTAGGTATGTCTTGGTATTTTATCCTCGGGTTGTAGTACCCTTCTTGAAGGTCGAACTTTGAGTACACCGTTGCTTCATTTAGTTGATCAAACAGATCATTTATTCTTGGAAGTGGATACATATTTTTCACGGTAATGCTATTAAGTTCTCGGTAGTTGATGCACAACCTCAAGGTTCCATCCTTCTTCTCCACGAACAACACTGACGCTCCCCATGGTGACACACTAGGACGAATGAAACCGACTTCTAATAGTTTATTCAATTGATCCTTTAGTTCTTGTAGTTCCAATGGGGCCATGCGGTATGGTGTCCTTGCCACTGGGGATTTTCCAGGTAAAATCTCTATATGAAACTCAATCTCTCTATTTGGTGGTAAGAAGGCAAGTTCATTAGGGAACACGTCGGCATATTCAGATATAATGGGTACTACTTCAATCCCTGACTTACTTTTGGGTTTGTTGATAATAAAAGCTAAGTACCCCTCTGCACCTTTTAAAATTGCTTTTCTAGCCCTCATAGCGGATATCCATGGAGCTAAGTTAACCCTAGATTTGCCTAAAAGCTTAACCACAGGCTTATCAGGCACACAGAATCTAACTATCTTAGAATGACAGTCTAACTGAGCATAGTGTTTAGATAGCCAGTCCATACCCAGTATCACGTCATACTCAAGTATAGTCAAGGAAATCAAATTAGCAGGAAAGCAACTATTTCCAATTATCACATTACATGCGTTATAGACCACATCAATTAACTGGCTTGCACCCATAGGAGTTGATACTTCAAAACAACTCGATAAGTAATCAATAGGCACATTCAGTTTTTGTGCAAATCGAGGAGCAACAAATGAATGAGATGATCCTGGGTCTATCAATGCGCGTGCAAAGTGGTTAGATACGAGAAATGTACCTTCCACCACGTCAGTTGCTTCTGGAGCTTCCTGTCCTGCCAGAGCAAACACACGTGCTGGTACCCTAGCACTATTGTTTCCAGGCTTTTCTGGTGCAGTTCGATTATCGGCCGGAGCCCCGCTCTTTGGGCAATCCTTAATTTGATGCTGAGAGCTTCCACATCTCAGACATTTCCCCAACTTCCGCCAGCAGTCATTGGGAGTATGCCCAGCCATGGAGCAGTGAGAACAGAGTGGGGGCGGATTCTTGACGGAGGGTTTTTTTCTAGTGGGGGTATTTCTTAATTCACTAGGCTTCTGAAATTTTTGAGGGGTTTTAGAGTACGGTCCTGGTGCTGGCCTCTTAAAATTCCCACCACTGTTATTTTGGACATGTCCTAGACGTGCCATCCCACTCTCAATTCGGGTGGCAGCCTCGACAGCTTCAGCATAAGTGTTCATCCTTACTATAAGAAGACTCTGCTGCAGGGAATGCCTCAAGCCTCTAGTGAATTTATACAACTTATCTTCTTTAGTGCTAACCAGTCCTGGCGCATATTTGGATAATCGATTAAACTGGGACTCGTATTGTGCTACAGTTAGTGTTCCTTGCTTCAGATGGTAAAACTCATCCCTTCTAGCTTCTCTTTCAGCTTGTGAGATGTATTGGGTTTTGAATTCTCTCACGAAATTCTCCCAAGTCCTGTTCTTATTTTCTCGTGTCCACTTCTCAGACACATTCTTCCACCAATCGTGTGCGGCAGATTCCAGACGAAATGCAGCTAGAGACAAACGTTCGGCCTCAGTGTATTGCAACGTTGCAAAGATACTTTCAATTCGTTCAAGAATCTTTTTAACGCCCGATCATGGGTTTCAGGTGCGTTGGGGTTTGATGTCATATGTTGTTGGAGAAAATTCATGAGTTGAGTGATGGCTTGAGCTGTCAAATTGTCTCCAGTAGGAGGTTGAGCCGGCAGTTGTGGGTTAGCGTTCCCATGCTGTGGGGCTGGATTATCATTTTGATGAAGGCGAGGTCGTCCACGTCGATGTTCAGCCATCTCTGATAAGTTCAATTATTTAACAATAAGTATTAATTAAGTTCTAATGTCCAATGAGTAATCACTACAAGTAGGTGCATTGATATCATTTTATGATAACTATTAGCATTCACATATAATCAAAACATAACATAGACATTCTTCAAGGAAATTAACATCAACATGGACAGGGAAACACTTAAAAATTACCCTGTCCATGGATCTATCAATAATACTACAATTCAAAACATGAGTCAATCAAACAACATCGTCCATGGTGCGATCATCAAGCAATTAATAAAATAAAAATCCTAACAACAAAACAATTCTTGGGTGGTCAGTCGTCATCCGACTCCAGCATGTCCTCCTCCTCTGGGTCCTCTTTCGGGTTCTCTTCGGGTTTCTCCTCCTCTGGGTCCTCCTCCGGGTCCTCCTCTGGGTCCTCCTCCGGGTCCTCCTCGGGGTCCTCCTCCGAACTGTCTGCTGTGATCACATGACGCGGTTGTGCAGGCCGCGGTCCATCAGTCGAAGCGGTAGGCTGCTGAGAGGCGAGTCTCTCTGCGGCAAGTTGACATTCAAGAATGCTAATACGCTGTCCTCCTAAGGAGATTAGTCGACGAAGCCTTTGATTTTCTGCTTCCATCACAGCCATTGCATCATCCTTCAATTGGAGTTCATGCTCCAAATTCTTGACTTTAGTATCTAGTCCCACCATCTGACATTCCTTGTCAACTAGCTCCTGCTCCATCTGATTCAGTTGTTTCTCCATTTGTTGAATCATCACTTTGCTACCCTCAAGCTGATTAAACAATTCCTGGCAATAAGAGGAGTGCATCCCTACGATTTGTTGAGCTTCCGTAAGCTGCTGCTCCAAATCGTAAACGTGCTTCACCTGCGTGACTAGCGCCTGGTGCTCGTTCTCCCAATCGTCCATCCATAGCTGCAGCTCCTCTTCTAGAACTTCTACACGACTCCTCTCATACGACAAATAAAACAAAAGAGTAGAGATGGGTCCATACCTATAATAATACTATCGTCAAACGCATCAGACAAAGGTGGAAGACGTCAAATATATATATATATATA